ACTGACGCACAGTGCTCTTAAAGGACTGAGCAGATGTGTCAAACTGAGATTCCAAGGTTCCACTGGGATTGTTTTTTAGAAGCAGATTGCCACACTTTTCTCCCACAAAGTGAATGGTACGATTCAAAATGCTGACCAGTGCAGCATCAAGGCTCCCAAAACATAACCTCGCCTACCTCATTTTAAACTATGTCCTAATTCAACTCTCCATTACATTAATCTTTTCAGCCAAAAGTCTCATGTCTTCACCTGGAAATATCTATTATCTGTTTAATGCTAACTCAAACTAGTTTTTGTTGAACAATCAATCACTTCCTTAGTAGTAAAGAAAGAAGTTGTGATCCAGAAATACAAAAAATAAAACCAAAACTAAGAGAATGATTAATGACTCCTTGTGCCCAGTAGATGTACTTAACATGGACCATGTGTTTTGCAATGGTTCCTTTGGTCTTCATAGCCCAGTTCAATGAAGCCAACACTAGAAAGATTTCTCATCTGCCACTAATAACAGCCTGCAAGACCATTTGCTCTTCTGTGTTGAATCCCATTAAGACACTAGGAAAGACAAAGGCCCTGTAAGAGTTGATGGACAGGGTAATCGGACGTCTAGACACTGGGCCTGTCTATAGTTCCTGGAGCAAACAATATGTTACCATAACAATATTCTACGAAGGTTTCAATGTGTTAGGGGATTTGGGAGCTTGGAGAAGGGTATATTGGCCATAAAGTTTCAATGGATCTTTAAAACCTGGAAAGATTTCAACAAGAAAATGTCTGAAGACAATGATCTTGGAAACACAAGCATTTTAGAGGAAAAAGAAAAATAAATTATAATTATTCCCATCTTATTAGAATGGGGTAAAATTGACCAAAATTAGTTTGATCTCTGATCTCAAAAGATTTGATCAGTATTTTGCATTATTATATATTTATTCTGGAAAACTGAGTTAAGAGAAGAGGAATCAAAATTACGGGTCTGTTTACAGCTTGTTCCAAGTCAGTCTGGGACGTGTCTGCATTATTTCACTGGAAAATATCCTAGTTCAAATACAGCGTCTTGCCCTTTGCCAATTTTATGCATACTAAAAATATTAAAATAGGAGAAAGATGGGCAATCTCCTCTTGTGCAGTTTACTACTTCTGAAAACCTGCTGTCGATATTTCTATTAAAAACTAGAAAATTATAGAAAAAATATTAGAAAAAAGGACAAAACAATGCTCAGGTTAACAACTTCCAATTACATGTGCCAACAACTAATCCCTATAAAGATTAAACATCTTAAAAGGGGAAATATTTTAAAATATCCTTTTTGATTCAAACACTCTTCTGATAAGAGTTTAGAAAATAGAAGTTTGCAATAATACATCATCACTTTCCACAGGAAAACTTTGAAACTAAATATTAAAAAAGAGAACTGATTCTGTTGATTGATTCAATCTATAAATAAAAATTAAACAGACATTAAAATGAATAACGTAGCTTGTATGTGCTGTTGTTGTTAGGCACCGGCGATGTACTGACATGTAAAAATGTCTTTAATATGGGGAATGAAAACAACAACTCACACTAGAATATATGAACTATGATTGGATTCCTAAAGATAAAGAAACCAAATATAAATATCGTGAATATCATCCTATTCAAATCTTTCAGTCCTTTATAAGTCAGTTAAACTCTGCATCTTACATCTACAGGGCTTCCAGGGTTCAACTCTTCCTTTCCCACCTGGTGTGTCCCAGTTAACTTCAAATGCCTAACTCCTCTCATGCCACTCTTTAAAAGCTTCATTAATGCTATCTTATCTTCTCAAAGCCACCTTTTAGGTAAAGGATTGAAGCTAGCACACAATATAGTAATAAGTATCAGCTAAGCATACAAAAAGGTCAGCCCTCTGGTGCAAATGAACATATGTAAACTTAAACATTTGAGAGCAGCAGCCTTCTTGGCCAGACCTCACTCCTTAAAACTACCTTTTAATCTTATTACTAAAAATGAACTCACAAAAATAAGCAAGCACTTTTTTTTTTACTTAGCAAATTAGCAGGGAGAAAATACAGTTAACCCAATGAAAAAAAGATTTTTTTCTTTTTCCTGATAAAAATGTACATCCAACAAAAGTAATTTACATAAAAATGTTGGTAAACAGTGACTCAAGCAACTTCCCTCCCAACAATCTTTCCTGAAAAAAATACTTGAAATGTAAATATTCGAGGATAAGCAAAATGTTCTTCCCAACGTAACTGTACGAAAAACTTAAAAAAAAAAAAAAAAAAAAAGACAACTATGGAAAATATAGTCTATTTATTCAGAGACTTAATTGCTAGTTTGGCACGTGTGCTAAATAATGTTTCCCGTATAGGTGTAGTAGGAGGAAAGACCTTCAAAGGCCCTAGTCCTGAGAGTACAGGAGCAAAACAATCAAGCTGTCTTTCTAAGAAGGCAAAACTCAGGGCAGCACATCTTTTCATTTCCACTCTTACTCAAGTTACATGCCTTTTTAGCTAAAATATATGCTATGTCCATGATGTAATTATACTTATCGATTACTTAATAGTACTTAAAAATAAACAGGAATGCACATTCATGTTTTATCGCGGCTTTGTTCACAACCCAGGTGCCCATCAACAAACGAATGGACAGAGAAGCCGTGGTATATTCACACAATGGAATACTACGCTGCACTGAAAAACAAGGAACTCATGCAGTATTACTCAAAATGGGTGACCCTGGAGGACATTATGCTGAGTGAAATATCTCAGTCACAAAAGGACAAATACTACATGGTGCCACTGCTGTAAAATGGGACTGATATGAGGGTTGTGGTAAGACTGAGAAAAACTGGATAAATTGTATATGCTACACTGAAACAGATGAGGGAGAGAGTAATTTAAAAGCGATGTATAATAGGGTATTATAGTTATCACAAGAGTCCACAATTAAGGTTGTATAGTGGAGTGTACTTGGGGTGGTGGGAGGGGTGCGGGGGGGACTGTATACCAAAGAAAGACTTCTACTTTTCAAAGAGAGGAGCGAAGGCAGGGGAGGGAGGGATGGGCAGGGAGAAAAGTCCAACAATGAACGAATGAAAATCCAAAATCTCTGTAAATGTTCATTAAAATTATTAAAATTTAAAAAAATTTAAAAATAAACCGGAAAACACTGATTTAAAAATATTCTATGCAGTTTGGCAGTTCTGACACTCTAAACACATTTTAAAATGATCATCTTTTCCTTCAAATTGTGCACAAGTCATGCCATCTACCAATCTAATTCAGTTCACCAGAATTTATACCCCCAGGATAGGCCTTCCCTACAGGGTACCCAAGACCACCACATCTTTGCCCCAGGAAAGCCTTGTGGGTAGGGACTGTCAACTTAGCAGTGGAATGCCTTAACAACAGCATCACCAGAGTTTCTTTAATACCGGTTATTACTTAAACCAATGCATCTTAATCATCAGCATTAACTACTTCCACTTCTACAAACATTTTTTTTTTAAAAAAATGTAATCAAAGAAAATGTTTAAATATCTGGACCTAACATAGGGTCACTAATCAGTCGCAAATGACTCGATGGCACCGAACAACAATGCTGATGTACAGAAAAGATAATGAGATTGCTGAAAATTATAAGTAATATTTCCTATCATGAATAAGGTCAAAATGCTTGTCAATTCATGTGCAAGTGTAACTTCCAAGTATAACTAATAGAGTCATATAAAACGGCAGTTGTTCAAAAGGCACAAGGTTTTTGAAGCACGCACGCGCGCGCGCGCACACACACACACACACACACACACACACACACACGAGTGCAGTTAAGAACAAAAGACTAAGAAGAAATATGCCAGTGTTAACAAGGGATGTATATCTGTGATGCTTTTTCCTTCTAATACAGACGTCGACACTACCCCCACATTGTAGACTAGGCTCCTTCGAAAAAGGCCCTTCTGAACATCTGAAGAGCAGAGACTGCACACACAGCTCCCCAGTTCAAAGCCGATGTGCTTAACCACAAAAACAGCATGGACTCAACATGCTTTAACTGTTTCAAGTCATTTTTATATATGCTATTTTTAAGGTTTGAAGAACTGACAACATAATACAGCTATGTAACATGCATACACGAGCATGCCTCAGAACACTGCACGAGGTAGTCATATCTGAAGTTAGTATTATCGCTTGATATACAATTGACCTCAGTCCTTTGGTGAACTACACTTTACATGTAGAGGTCAGATACTTCCCATTAGAGCTCGAATTTCATATTCAAGAGAAGCAAACTCTTGATTCTGCCATCAACCAATACAACTATCTATCCCAAATGAAAAGAACCAGACTGCCTGGGTGCTGTCAAAAAATACAATGAAAAGAAATTATTGTGTGTCTGAAAACAAATGACGTTTCTGTTCAAAAAGTATCATAAAAAATTTACCTAAGGAGAGGTACCGATGGTTGAAAACTTTACTGTAGCGTGTGTTTAGGGAGAAAGAGGAAAGCAACAAAAACAATACGCCATACTCATGAAATTCCACCTGTGATTTGTCAGTGACTGAGAACGTAATTTTTTTTTGGGACTATTTTTTCTCCTTTGTTTACTGTGTACCGTCGAATCAGATCCGACTGGCACAGAAGATAGCCCCTCCTTCTCCCAACAGAGCATCTGGTGGATTCAAACAGTGCACCTTCGGGATTACAGAGCAGCTTCTTGCCACTAGGCTACCAGAGCTCCCTGATCAATCGATCAATTGATCGATCATCCATCCATCCATCCATCCATCCATCCATCCATCCATCCATCCATCCATCCATCTTTGTTACCTGGTTCAAAAGCTGTAAAAAAATATATTGCTCTTTCAGTGAACCATTCAAGTTTTAGTGCTCACAATGCTTTGTTTTGTGTGGTGTTTTTTTAAATTTTTTTTGCTGAAATTAAAAGTAGTATTTTTAAAATTTCCTTTTCATTCCCAATTCTTTTCCTAAGTGTCACAGATCCATACCTTCCTCCTATGGCGTCGTCTTGTGGTTGGGCCCCGGCAGTGTTCCTCTGTGAACGTCGCAGTGACCCCCCTGGATTGTTATTAGGCCGGTTGGACATTGGCACCTCTCTCTTGAAGGGACATACCCTTTCTAGACACTACCATTCACTGCAAGAAAAAAAATGACAAGAAAACGTATTAGATACATGTTATACAGCACTCAAAAGAATAGACAACCAGGACAGCCACTACAGCGGAGTGGAGTCAGGCAGACAATCTGATGATATAGCTTCATCTTCTCTCTCATTGCCATCTTAGTAAGAAAGCTGGACTCCCTGCTTAGAACATGCATTTCCACCCCAGAAAACAGACTCAGACCTACATTTTTAAGGATCTTGGGAAAACGTAGCTTCTGATTTGTCTATCCAAGGTAGAAAGGCAAATTTTCAGTAAGGAAGGAGCCGAAACAGAATAAACCAGTTGGAAGAATACATCAGTAAGATTATTTAATGTATTAAAATACCAGGTCAGGACAATATCAAGTCAAAGGATGTGACTTAAAAGCCCAGAACATAAAATTAGATTTTTCACAGTTAGAATTGAATTTTTTCAATTCCATGCAAACAGAGTACAGGTAAAAATACATCTTTGTATCCATGTGCCTAGTATTTATACAGAAAAAGACATTTCATCTGAAGTAAAAAAAAAATCATCGCTGAAGACCTAGGATAGGTAAGTTGCTAGTAATGTACAAAGGCAAACTTTGAGGCTCTGGTAGTAAGAAGCTGAGATAGCACTCCACAGGCAAATGGTTTGAATCCAGCATGCTACTGGACAGTCTATTACCAGGCAATTTACTGCCTCTGAAAACCCACTGAAGGGTCAGTCATTAGTGGGTTCCAACATAGTGACAAGTCAGACTCTTCAGAATGTTAAACACTATTTCATGCCTACTTCACAAAAAGATTATGAATGACAAAATAATAAGCAGGAAATTGCTATAGTACCTTGACGGGAGATTTAAGGAAAAGGAAGTTCAAGTGGGTGACTAAGCAGTTATTCCAGTGAGCCTGGGCTTCAACACTTGCTCTGCTAGCCATGTGACCTCAGACAAGACAGTTCCTCTGCACACCGACCTCTTCTGTAGAACTCACATATTACCAATCTAATGAACTTTCAGCAACAATAAAGTGTGACAGGACTTTTATCAATTTGAGCTCTCCATTTGTCTATAAATTATAAGGATAAAATGGTGGCAATGTCGAATAGCTTCACGGATAAAACAAACTCATACATTTATAATCATAAAATATTTACAGCTTGTATGAATCAAACCTTTCACCATTTTTAAAAACCCCAAGCAGAGTTCTTTACTTCTACTTAGGAAGGAATGATCGGTTGGTATTATAGATACTGGCACCAAAAAGAATAACTAACTAAGCATCCATGAATGTGTTCATTTAAGAGATCCTATACATTGGAATACTGTAGTGGGTTTTATATTGTGTTACCTGTTGACTCAACTCAGCAGAAAAATATTACAAGGAAAACTCAGAGCTGGAATGCCCTCCTTTCCCTAACAATCATTAAAAGGCAGGCAGATAGCTAATGACTAAATGCAGAGTAAGTATGAGAAGATTTCTCCTCAAGATATCTTAGCAGGGAAACTAAGGAAGCTTTTTTTTAATATTATGAACACAACATATTGAAAACTGAGGGAAGAATCTGTAAAACAGACTTTGCTAATGTGTGTGGATGGCCACTGAAAAGGAAGACAGGAATCTTGATTCTGAAAAATGAAGTGATTTCTGTTGAAATTATTTTTAAATTTTTCCTGGTAAAAGCAACATGAGCTAACACAGCAATTCTCAGAACAGTGTTGTAGCTTTGCTGAACTGGATCCATGATCTCAATTCCACTGACCAAGTACAAGTACTTCTCTGAGCTTCTGTCTGTGCAAAGAGGTAACAGAATTCATCTCACAATAATTGTTTTGAGGATTTAATGAGAAAATCCACTGAAAATAGTTACAACAATATCTACCTTATATCAAGGTCTTAATACATAGAAATTCAATGAACATCAGAAAAGAAGTGGAAGAAGATGTAACAAAGAAAAATTCAACCATAAAAACTGTCAGTACATGAGTCTTGATTTCTAATATTTCCATTTTAAAAGTTATTTTCTTTTATAAAGAAAATTCACAATAATATTTTTCATTTAAGCATCACTTGAGAAATTATGTCAAAATATGAATGATTGGCCCTTTTCTGTAGATATCTGATTCTAAGGAAGAGAAATGAGAGTCACATTTTAAAAGCACCTTCTGGTTTGTCATTTTACAACATAATAATCACAATGTATTTTAGAATTCATCCCAAAAAAGTTTACAACTTCTTCATGTGTATGAAGAAGAAACAACCACCAAGCAACTCAGTCAGGAACAACTGGTGATTTTTATGCAGAAACTAAATGATCTTTAATAAAGAAATCTCTATTTTGGAATAAAAAAAATCTTCAAACATTCAGACCCTCAACAGTATGGATAAAAAAACCATCATACTACCACGACAACATAAAGGTAAATAATGCAATAGAAAAATGGGCACAGGACATGAATAGACACTTCACCAAAGAAGACATTCAGATGGCCAACAAGCCCATGAAGAAATGCTCAAAATCCTTAGCTCTAAGAGAGATGCAAATTAAAACAACTATGAGATATCATCTCACCCCAGTCAGAATAGCAAAATTTAACAGAATAGCAAGCAGCAAATGCTCGCGAGGTTGTGGCGAAACTGGAACCTTTATTCACTGTTGGTGGGAGTGTAAAATGGTGCAACCACTGTGGAAGGTGGTATGGCGCTTTCTCAAAAAGTTGCAAATAGAAATACTTTTGATCCAGCAATCTCACTAGTTGGAATATAACTGCCACCCAAGTAGATATATGCACACCCATGTTTATCGCAGCTCTGTTCACAATAGCAAGGAGTTGGAAACAACCCAGGTGCCCATCAACAAACGAATGGGTAGAGAAGCTGTGGTATATTCACACAATGGAATACTATGTGGCATTGAAAAACAAGGAACTCATTCAATATTATTCAAAATGGGTGAGCCTGGAGGACATTATGCTGAGTGAAATATCTCAGTCGCAAAAGGACAAATATTGCATGGTGCCACTGCTGTAAAATGGGACTGATATGAGGGTTGGGGTAAGACTGAGAAAAACTGGATAAATTGTGTATACTGCACTGAAACAGATGAGGGAGAGAATAATTTAAAAGCGATGTATGATAGGGTATTATGGTTATCAGAAGAGTCCACAATTAAGGTTGCATAGTGGAATGTACTTGGGGCGGTGGGAGGGGTGTGGGGGGATTGTGTACCAAGGAGGGAGTCTTTCTTTTACTTCTGAAAGAGAGGAGCGAACTGGGGGGTGGGGGGGGAGAGGGCTGGGCGGGGAGAGAAGTGCAGCAATGAATGAATGGAAATCCAAATTCTCTGTAAATGTTCATTAAAATTATTTTAAAAATATTTTAAAAAACCAACAAAAAACAAACCATCATACTGCTGCTCTCCCACTGTAAAACAAAGAATACTATTATTAAATGGGGTTGTTATTTCTCATTTCTTGTTAACTAAATGCTTGCTACATGTCATGGAGGGCTAAGATACTCAAATGAACACAATCTCACTGGCTATGTGACAGCTCACAAGAGCTATTAATTTGTTCAACTAAGCACCATTATCAAGTATCAGCTCACCCACCTTGGGCAATTCTTGGGAATTTAAAAGAAAAAGAAGATGACAGAAACATTTTATTTCAAAGTGCGGCCTGCTTTTAAAGTACAGAGATCCTATTCAATTACTCTTTGGCATCTGAATTCCTGAAAGCAAACAGTAAAGAGTTAACTTGTGATGAACACTGAACTTGCCCCAAAGTCAGGAGTAAGCCAAACCAGAGAGCAGAAAGAGCAAGCATTCATTCCTTAAAATATGTGTTATTGTTAAATGCCATCAAGTCAGGACAGACCCTTAGTTGACCTGATCCTCCAGCAGGCTTTCAGAGGCTGTAAATCACAAGGGAAGAGAGTGTCATCTTTCTCTTATGGAGTAGGTATATCTGAACCACTTGGTCTTAACACTACTGCTCTTCTAACTCCAGTAAGACTTTCATTTCTGTGAAAATAATCAAGATTTTGCATGTGCAAGTTTTCATATTAAGTCCTAAAACACTGAAATTAAATATTCTCTCTCACACCACACACACCCCCGCCCCTATTAAAACAGATCAGAACTCTGCCCTATCCTGGTGCTATCCTCACCATTTCTGCCATGCTTAGGCCAACTCTTAGTTATTCTAGTAGTATCAGTAACCTTATAAACCATTATGAAATTCCTACTTCACATACAAAAAAGAAGCTACCTGCCTGAGCTGCAAATCTCTGCAACTGCACACACCTCAGCAACAAGGGCTCACCAGGAACAAATTAATCCCACACCAAGGATACTATCAATTAAACCATTCTACAATAAAACTGTGGTGTGGGTACCCTTATATGCTCACAAATGGAGCCATTCTTGTTTTAAAAAAGAATGGCTAGGGCTTCAGATAAGTTTACCCTTAAAATGGTAACAAGTAACCCGTTAAGGTTCTGTTAAATGCAAGAGATTGAGAGGTGGTGAGACACAAAGGCAAATATAAAACAATCCCTGCTCACAAAAAGCTTTCTGTTCTACAGCCCCCTACTAGATTGCAAAAGAAACACACTTAGGCTTAAATGTCACCTGTAGTACTTAAGAGTATAAGGAGGATAAGTACTTTCCCTTCATCTACGTTTCCTTTTCCATTAAGCTAAACATTACATGAACACTTTAGGATAGTTTAGAGAGAAATGTCTGGCACATGATTTCTTGCCATGTACAGAGTGTCTAAGAAGTACAATTAAATGGTGTAAACGGAGGATTCTAAAAAACCACTGAAGACAAAAACTGTGGAGCACTGGGAAACAAATCCAGGTTGTCATGTATAGGATAGTCACAATTTTTTTTAAAAAAAAAAAACCCTATTTTATTCCTACTACTTTATTCAAAGCTACTAGATTCATAAAGTATC